AGTTAGTTAGTTAGTTTAGTTTAGTAGTTAGTTAGTAGTNTTTTNTATATATATATATATATATATATATATATATATATATATATATATATATATATATCGGTGTGTGTGCGTTTGTCTGTATCATGTATGTACACCCACTATTTCTCCTGCCTGTGAGGCCTCACGGCCAGGTAAGACAAATTTCAATATTGCGAGTGAACCCGAATAATGGAACGATATATTCATAGGCCAAGACACGCTTAAGCATCAGAACATAGTTCATACTAAAACCTGGAGTATCCGCTGAGTCTCTCACTGGACCTGAACGTTTATGAAAGGTTCAGCGAGCAATAACCCCATGAACACATGTTTGTCGTAATAAACGTTATGAACACGTGTTTATCGTAATATAAGTTATGAAAGAATATTAAATGTGTGTTATTAACTGTGTGTTGTTGAATGTGTGTTCTTAACTGTGTGTTGTGTTTACATGGCAGAGTTGCGGACGATGCGAACGTACCTCAACAGTGACGTCACAGCCCTGCCAGACTACATGTCACAGGCCAAGCGCATCATCCCGTTCATCGGGGACAACATGGTATGTTATACTAATAGTAGTATTATACTGTGTTAATGGGAGACCACATGGTATGTTACATTTAACAATAGGATTAGAATGTGTTGATGGGTGACCACATGGTATGTTGTATTTAACAGTAGGATTAGAATGTGTTGATGGGTGACCACATGGTATGTTGTATTTAACAATAGGATTAGAATGTGTTAATGGGAGACCACATGGTATGTTATACTTAACAATAGGATTAGAATGTTTTGATGGGTGACCACATGGTATGTTGTATTTAACAATAGGATTAGAATGTGTTAATGGGAGACCACATGGTATGTTATACTTAACAATAGGATTAGAATGTGTTGATGGGTGACCACATGGTATGATGTAATTAACAATAGGTTAGAACGTGTTGATGGGTGATTACATGGTATGCTGTATTTAACAACGGTACAATCATGTGTTGATGCCAGACAACAATATGTTAAAAACTTATCCACCATACACATTTAACTCGAGCTCACAAATGTCGATAGACAGTCCTATTACTACCAACGCCCACCACCCACAGTACTCACTGACACACCCTATCAACCACTCCCATGGCCCAGGCCCTGGACTTGAGGTCTCAGGTGTCCAAGGAAGCGTGTGTGACTCTGTGTCATCTGGCCCAAACTATGGGACCGCACTTCAAGGTATTTGTCCCGGAAGTCATCAGCGTGCTCATGCGGCTCCTGCATCGCAACCAGGTGGGTGCTGTGGGTATTGGGTTTTCTACACGTGGTTTTTGAGACTGTCTTTTTTTTGTATGTATATGTATATATGAATATATATATATATATACATATATATATATATATATATACATATATATATATATATATATATGTATGTATGTATATATATATGTGTGTGTATGCGTGTGTTTGTGTGGACCAATACTGAGATCATACTCAGTTAACAGATGGCAAAATTACGAACACACGTCCGCAACTACGGTTTACAATGTTCTGTCGGATATGTACAAACTCTGAGATATAGTCGAGTAACGCAAAAAAAATTCTCTGCAGTTTTTTATACAGTGCTCGGATTGTACAATGAAACGGATTCTCACCGCATGCGCCAATCCCGCGCTGATCTCCAAGGTGTTTGTGCCAATCATACGCGACAAGTTCGATCTGATCCGTTCGAAAACGGCCGAGTTGATGGTAAGTATTATATATATATATATATATATATATATATATATATATATATATA